GTTACTGCTGATAATACATTTCCATTTTTATGTCTCTCTCTATGTACTGTTTTCACATGTCGCCTTTCTTGTTTGTTCTTGTTGTTCCGAAAAGCCGGTCTTACGCATTACTAGAAAAGAAGTACCATGGTTTTTCTTGTGTAATACCTCGAGAATTTTGAGAGTTCTAAATTCAAGTACAGTTTTCCCTTTACTGTATTATTTGAAGCATTACGCTTAATAAGCGAATCTTTGCACATGTTTTCCTAGAAATGGACGTATTTCCTCATTTCTTTTTATGCGTTTTTTGCAGCTGTGCAATGCAGAAAACGCATATTGATGGGGGGTTGTCTGTGTGTGTGTATGTGTGTGTCACGGTTTTTCGTTTCAAGATCTACAAAAGGTACAGGGCTGAAGCTTTGGGAACTTAATCTACATGGACGTACGGGCCCCAATCCTCAAAATGGGCGGACTTACCCGCGTAGTACCCACGTAAGAGCACCGCCAAATTTTTTTACGGGTAGGCTGCGCTAACTCGGGAACCAGAAATGCTGGGGGGCTGAAATTTTAAGGGGACGTTCCCCATCCAAGTGAGTATTAAGTATTAATGAGCTCAAGCCCAGCCCCTGGGTAAGCGTGGTACCCACGTACGGGTTCGTCAAAATTTTTTTCGGGTAAGTTGCTAACTCGGGAATCTGAGAAGCTAGAAGGCTGGAATTTTGAAGGAATGTTTAGTAACAGTCCTGGTGGCCAGTCTGAAATTCTTTTAGCTAGAAGCATCTGCCGGAAAAACCAGTGCCGTTGACGACGAAAATCGGCTGGGAGCAATGCCAAAAACGCATCTTCGCACGAGCAGGCCGTGCGTTGGCCAATTATTTTATTTTTTTTTTTTTATCTGCGTTAATTTTACGCCTAAGGACCCGGACATCAGCCTTTCCTTTTCCCAGCCAGAGCTTTTTCCTGTTGCACAATTGGGAGCAGAAGTGGGGCAGGACTGGAAGAAGGAGGGGAGGGGCAGGGGTGGAATGGGACATAATTAGGGCAGCATCTGGGAAGGTTTTAGAGAAATTATTTGAAGCGCAGATTTTGTGTAGGGACGCTTCAGCTTTAGTGTTTCTTTAGAGCAGGAACAACCGTCAGTGCAAGTTCTGACATATTTTATTCTTTTAAAAAAATAAGACTCGGTTGCCACGTGCGTTTGCCGCTTGTCGCGTGCTTGGCAGCTTATCGCGTGTTGCTGGCCCAATCAACAACACACTGATTGCATGAATTATGTATTTTAATCGTACAATGCTTAACACTGATATCAGAAAGTAAACAGAAAATAATATGAAAATCCTTTGCGAGTTGTAAAATAACTCATGTCGTGTAACCCTTCTGCGTACGAACCTGTGAAACATACTGAGCTTAAGGAGAAAGGTTTTGAGTATTTCTTTCAAGTAGCGCAGTAATCCACCACTAAACCGTCACAGGAACTCGTCTTTCTTCCGTCTTGCAAATCAGTTATATGATTATTGAAGACATGGCGGGTAGGAAGCTGTACTGATGATTACCACTCCTACCCGCATGCATAGTTTGGTCTGTGTGTGCAGCTAGGGGATGAAACACAGACTGCATCATAAAATGTCTTCATACACATGACA